GGAGTTACAAAATGAGAGACAATCGAAAGAATCGGCGAATGAAGAGAAACGAAGACAAAAGATCCAAACGATGAGCGATGAAGTCGTCGACTCTAACCCTTACAGGTATTTGTATTAACCATTCATTTATTGTTTGATTATTTAGTTATTTCTTAATTAACATTTGGTTTGCATTTCTTTTGGTTCAGTCGTCTAATGGCACTGAAGAGGATGGGAATCGTTGACAACTATGAGGTGTTTATCTATCTCTAAACTAACTCTGCAATTGATAACTGTTTGAACTCAATATCCAATGAAAACAATTTAAATTTAATTAAACCGAAGATATTGAGGAAACAGATGTTATTGTTTTGAAATTAATAGTTTTGTCAAATTGTTGTGTTATATAAAACATTTAAAATTAACAATTTGTGACAATATTAACAGAAAATCCGTGACTTTTCGGTGGCGATCGTAGGGATCGGTGGCGTCGGATCTGTGACGGCAGAGATGCTGACCCGATGTGGTATCGGAAAGCTATTGCTGTTTGATTACGATAAGGTGGAGTTGGCTAATATGAATCGGCTATTCTTCCAGCCCTATCAGTCGGGTATGTCTAAAGTGGCCGCCGCTCACAACACCCTCTCCAACATCAACCCAGACGTACAGTTTGAGACCTATAACTATAACATTACGACAATCGATAACTTCAATGATTTCTTGGAGAGAATCAAAACTGGAGGAATCGGCGGCAAAAACGTTGATTTGGTTCTTAGTTGTGTCGACAACTTTGAGGCCCGAATGGCCATCAATACGGCCTGTAATGAACTCAACCAAACGTGGTTTGAGTCGGGCGTCAGTGAGAACGCTGTTTCGGGTCACATACAGTACGTCAGGCCCGGAGAGACCGCTTGTTTTGCTGTGAGTTGTAAACCCTTATAATTGCAACGATTGGTTGTGTAATGTATTTGCATTAATGAATGCCCTTATAGTGTGCGCCGCCGTTAGTCGTCGCCTCCAAAATCGACGAGAAAACCCTGAAGAAGGACGGCGTGTGTGCGGCCAGTCTTCCCACAACTATGGGTATTGTCGCCGGATTTTTGGTCCAAAATACGCTCAAATATCTGTTACATTTCGGAACCGTAACTCATTATTTGGGTTACAATGCTTTGGAGGACTTCTTCCCGACAATGTCTATGAAGCCGAACCCCAACTGCGACGACAGCTTTTGTATGAAGAGACAGAAAGAGTTCAACGCTTTACCGAAGGCAGAGGTCGTGGCGGTTGTCGAAAAGGATATCGTTCACGAAGAGAACGATTGGGGTATTAGTCTTGTCGACGAGTCGGCACCTGTTGTAGAGAATCTACATATCAGTTCTGGACTGAGACTGGCCTACAGTCACGGCGACAATCAAACAGACAGCGAAGACATTCCGGCAGTCAGTGCTGCAAACGAACAGTCATTAGAAGAATTAATGAAACAAATGAAGCAATTGTGAAGTGATTCGTTAAATTTTAATACATGTCATACATTGAGTATAAAT